CGGGGCTTGGCGGGACCCGGAGAGAAAACTCTCCAGTTACAGACTTCAGTCTCCTGATAGAACAGATTCCTGTGAGGCTACCAAGTCCACGGCCATCTGCTCTGTAACTCTACCAAACTCAGTGCACATACTGCTAAAGAACAGACTTTTGTACATGGGGCAGATTGTGGAACACGAGTCACAGAACAAAGGGATCTGAAGAGGTCTATGAAGCTCCTTAGATCTTAATATACACAGCTATATTCTACTCCACAAGGCATCTTTCCTGCCAGGAAGGCGGACATCTGTAAGGAGGTAACTGTGTCTGGGAGAATGATGTCCTGGGCTCTAAGTGCCTCTCCCATTCTAAGGTGCCATGTCCAGCAGTAACACTAAACTCAGCTTTATCTTCAGTGTTTATCATGGGGCAGAGTAGTAAAAACTCATTATCCTTGGCAACACAGAAGAGTTCTCACTAGTAAACACAATGAGATGAGGACATAAATGCCGGTGTCTTTTGGAAACAAAAAACTTAGACAAAAAAAAAATACTACTGAGGCATTTTCTTGATCTAAGCTCACCAAGTCTCTGCCATCAGGCTATCCCCTCGCTTCTCATGGTCTAACTGATCATGACAATGCACTGAGCAAGATTGCTCACAAAGAGAAAGGATAGCTCTCTCAACGGTCAGATAATTTTGGAGAGAGGCATAGAGTGCTGGGCTCCCTGGCTTCTCTAGAAACATCACAGGCAGCTAATAAGCATGGTAAAAACATACCTGAAACAAATAGATTAAGCATGGGGCAGATTGTGGAACACTTGAAGTCACAAAATAGAATACAGAATACAAGTTCAGAACAAAGAACAATGTGGGTAGTAAACAATCCAATAGCTGAGAGCTGACAAAGTAGACAAGGGCTTACCTGCTCTGTTTCAAAGATATCCCGAAGGTGCTCAAGGCCAAGGCTTTTAAGGAATTGGCTGATATTCATGTCAAGACCTGCAACTAAAACAGAAACATCACATCTCTTAGAAATGTCTAATCCCATGGAAGGTTTCAGTATTTATGTATAACCTTATTTCTTCTTCTCATTCATTCATTCATTCATTCATTCATTCATTTTTCCGGAGAGGGTTTTTCTGTGTAACAGCTCTGGCTGTCCTGGAACTCATTCTATAAACCAGGCTGGCCTCAAACTCATAGAGATCCACCTGCCTCTGCCTCCTGAGTGCTGGGATTAAAGGTGTGCGCCCATCACCACCTGGCTAACGCTATTTCTTGACCTTTGCCTATACAGATGATTTCGCATGATATAAAATAATGCTAAATATGTAACTTAAGCACTTCAAGTTATTTTGAATTTTATCTTTGGCATAGCAATAGAATAGTACTTATATTAATTCTAATACACATAAAACAGAATTAAAATGTAGATTTATATAAGAGACATAGTAAATATGGTATTAATTTCTAATATCACATTATATAATTTTAAAGATTTTATTATTTTTAATTACGTGTGTGTGTGTGTGTGTGTGTGTGTGTGTGTGTGTGTATGTGTGTGTGTGTATGTGCATGTTGAGTCCAGGTGCTGCTGGAAGCCAGAAGAGAATACTGGATATCCTGGAGGTGGAGTGAAGGGGGCTGTGAGTTACCCAGTGTAGGTGCTGTGAACTAGCCTAGGTCCTCTGGAAAAGTATGCCTAAGCTCCAGTCCATATTTAATAGAATTAAATACTTTTAAATGAATTAAAAAAGAAAATCAAAGTCTTTATAAAATTATTTTATTTATTTCTGTGTGTATAATATATGTGTATGTACATGTTTGTGTCTGTGGAGGCGAGAGGTCAATGTTGAGTGTCTTCCTCATTATCTATCTATCCACCCATCCACCCACCTATCTCTGTCTTCTAGAGAGTCTCTTACTGAACCTGGAGCTCACTTACTCAGCTAAACTATCTGGCCAGCGAGTTCCAGGAATCCTCTAGGGACCACTCCGCCCCTGTACCCAGCTTTTTACGTGGATGTTGGTCATCCAAAGTCAAGTCCTCGTTTCCTTGCCCCCCACTTTCCTCTCACCCCCCACCCCCCACCTTTGATCGGGTCTCACCATACAGTCCAGGATGTCCTTGAACTCAGAAAGGTTTAGAGAGAGGGTATCTTTAAGTTTTTAATAACCTAAAGAGAAAAGTAACTGGCCATTCACAGGGCTCCCCTACCTTCTCCTTCCTTCCGTTCTGCCCCGGCGGCGCCATCCCCTGCATTGGAGGCTCCTCCTACAGCCAGCTCTGCCAAGGGGCCAGTGAGGTTATCTATGCTGCTGGCAGCCGAGAGGCAGGAGGGGGTGGACGCTGGCGAGATCAGAGAGGCACTAACCACAGTTGCCTGAGGTTTAAAGCAGGTAGGTAAGGCCTCTGGGGGCATGGCATCTATCAGCAAAGCTCGGATATCGTCGGCCTAAAAATGATTGTGAAAGAAAACACAAAAGCGTTATAAACGTTAAGTTTTTCACCAAGCACCAAACGTTCTGTGATTTTTTTTTAAAGACTACCAGGCACAGAAATGGACACTTGCTTTTGGCTAGAGGTGTCCAACACTGAGTGGTGGCTGTAGATGGGAGCTGGAAGTTAGACAACGGGCACAGAGAGCTAACGGGGCTGATTTCACATGAGATATCCCAGAAGTACAAAGGGAACTGAGGGAACATGGGGCTTTGACTAAGACTTCCATGAAGAATGCCAACTCCGAAAACGAACTGCCAGTTGAGCCCTGGAAGGTAGTGTCATGTCTGACATCCTCACGAACAATAACCACGGGTGCAAATGAGGACTTACCGTCGCCAGATCTAAAGGTGTCTGACCTTCTTGGTTCTTCATGGTTGGGTCTGCGCCATGTGCCAGGAGGAGGGCACATAACTGTGTCCTTCCTTTCTGGGCTGCTTCATGAAGCGGAGTAAATGCCCACTTATCCGTTGCGTTTACACACGTGTTGTATTTTATCAGTAATGCTGCTATGTCCACATGCTGAGAAAATCAAGAGGACACAGAGGCTGAAGAAGAAAAGCTCCTGGTAGAGTTCCACCAAGTATCCCTGTTTCTAGTCAACAATTCCTTCCAGGCCTGTGTTCTCATCCTTAATAGAAGCGTCTTCTTAACAACCAACACACCACACACACACACACACACACACACACACACACACACACACACACACTCTCTCTCTCTCTCTCTCTCTCTCTCTCTCTCTCTCTCTCTCTC